AAAATATCACTACAATTAAACGTGACAAAATCCTTTAAAAAACCAGGAGAAACCAGGAGAAAATCATAAAAATCAGCTCCTGGATTCAGGAGATTTTTTCACCAGGAGAAAAGTCTAAAAATCAGGAGTCTCCTGGCTAAATCAGGAGATTTGGCAGCCCTGGTGTGGATATGCGCAAATAGCTTCTCTTCAACTACACTCATAGACACTCACACTCTCTAAATAGAGACGACAAGAAATGTCAGAGCTGTCTTTTTCAACTAAAATTAGAGTTATTTCAGTACCATTTTGATATGATGTCGGTTGAGTGGAATAATCAGACGAAATTTCCAATGGATTAGTAGATGAATAATTAGTCGATTGCACCGTTAAATAAAGTTGTGACGATAGACGAGGTATATTTAATTTGTCTGAACTCATTCTTGGTTGTTGATATGAAGTCTATGTGTATCGTTAACATGTTTAAACATGTTTATGACATCATGCGTTTATTTATCTTTACCACGAAGTATGGAAAGAAAATGTGAAAGAAATAACTCAACTGAAACAAGTATGATTTATTAATGTAGATCGGCAAGATTTGATTCAGAGTCCATACAAAAAAGTCACTATTATAAAAATACCAATCGAAACAGGATCAACGACAATATATCTTTGATTTTTTTATTTATCCAATTCGTATATACATTTTTGATCTTTTTGATTGACGGAGATCTATATAAACTAAATATTGAATTAGTACTTCCATAGTAAAATAACATCAGGCGTTAAACTAAATTTAATTTATTTATCTAAGAAAATTGAATATTATGATAGAATCGACGCAATTGAGATCCGCCATTTGAACTCATACTTTGCTGGTTAACAGAGATTGTGCTATCATTTGTTTTGACTATAAAAAGAAAAAAAAACTAAGCAAAAAGTTTTATATGTCTGATCGATAATTCAGAAGCGACAGATTTTCCTGCTATAACTAATTATATACAAAATTAATTTAGATGAAAATTCTCATATTATGACAGTACTTCTTTGTTGAGATACAGGAAAGACAACGTTTGAAGGAAACTTAACACGGTGGATTCAAGAGAAACTAAAATATAGGACATTAGAATATTTCTTCTCATTATCTAACATCCGTAGTTTCCCAACTTGAATTATACTCCGACTGAGTTTACGACATATAGGCGCCCGTTATCCAAGCAGTTTCTGAAAACTAATTTCAAACAGCCAATATTGTCCACAGCTGTATTGCTCATACGCTGTTCTACAACATCACTTCGGTTCTAGCTATGGTTGATTGAGTTCTAGAATAGATACTATTTGAGATTTTGCATTCAAAAATTATAAGTATTCGAGAGATAATAATGTTGACTGCTAAACAGAATCTGAAATCATCTTTATCGTTATTTGTGCGAAAGTTTAGGAATGAACTTAAAGCGTACAATTATCAAAGAATCCAAAAACCATAAAAATCACTGCACTAGGGAAATAATTCTTGCCAAATCGTATCTACGAGCCTTTGTCGACTGATTTAACTTAAGAACGCAAAGAGTTCTATTGAGTAGATTGGGCGAAGTATGTTACACTGGCGCCCTCTTTTGTTATATAGTCGACATGAAATCTGTCGTAGCTAGTTTCTAAGCAATGACGCTGCGTCGTATAACATGCTTTGTGCGCCGTCCGATGTTCGTTCTGTGCATGCAGATGACTAATCAAATGATCGTTCTCTTTTGTTCGATACCTAGCCTAAGTTTCGTCATTCCCTGCTGGGTGACATCATACACAAACAAAGATTAGCCAAATATGACGGAGAAAGAGAACAGGAAGAAATGTATAAATACCTGAGTATTTGTTTTAGCTAACATTAGCACATCTCCGCTCTTGGGCAACATTTTCACTGACAGAGTATTCTGGTAACTAATGAGTTTTCATATTGTTCGACTGTAAATGAGATCTTCTGGGCTTTTTCGATAAGCTGAGCAGGTTCACTCCTAGTGATCTCTTTCGCTTTCCTAGTTGGTGTCTTATATTATATTGTATTTTGTGTCTATATGAAGGATCAAGCTGCGAAGGACCTTTTTTTTACATCACTTTTGTTCTAGTCACCGAACAAGCGATCAATACAAACGATATAGAACGATGACGAACAAAGATGAACAAGTGGAACTAGCGAAATTAGCCCAACACGCCGACCGGTACAGCATCTGCTCGCATAACCTAAGCGATCTGGTAATGTAAATTTTTATTTAGATATGCTGATATGGTGGCTGCCATGAAAAGAGTCGCTGAATCCAATAGTGAATTGACGATAGAAGAATGTAATTTGCTCTCGGCTGCCTACAAGAATGTGATCAGTGCTCATAGATTATCTTGGCGATCTATGTCAATTATTGAACAGAAAGCCGAAGGCAAGCAACAAATGGCCAAGGAATATCGCGAAAAGATTGAAAGTGAATTGAAAGATATTTGTTACGAGCTTTTAGTAAGATTTACCCAGTAACCGATTGTTCTATGACAAAGAAAGATGTGTGAATTTAGACCTTGCTTGATAAATATCTTATTCCAAAACCGACAACAGTCGAATCGAAGATACTCTGTTTGAAGATGAAGGGTGACTATTATCGATATTTGGCTGAAGTAGCCATCGGAGACGAACGACAAAGTACGTATTGAATTCTACTCAAAAATAGATATTTGTATCGATATTAATCATAGAAATGGCTGAAGAATCGCAACGTGCCTACAAGGATGGATTCGATGTGGCCAAGAATCAAATGCCAGTAACACATCCGATTCGACTTGGTCTTGTTCTAAATTTCGCCGTCTTTCATTACGAGATTCTCAATGAACCGAATGTAGCTTGTCGCTTGGCCAAACAGGTTTGTTCGATTTGATGCATTTTTTTTTCTTTATTCATTCAAATACCTATTTCATAGGCCTTTGACGATGCTTTGGCCGAGCTAGATTCTATCGATGAACATTCCTACAGTGGTAAGAGAAAAGATCATCAATTGATAATTAACAGAAAAACCAAAGTTTTTTTCCTATCCACTTTCAGACAGTACTCTTATCATGCAGCTGCTCCGAGACAATCTCATTGTGAGTATTCATATGTAGAGATGTTCTTTATATATGAGCACTCATCTTTATTTAAATTTTGCAGCTGTGGACTAGTGATGAATCTTATATCGACAATGTCAATCAACTTGAAGAACAGTAGTAGTAACTGGACGTTTCAGTTTGTTTCTTTTGTTTATATAAATACACGCCGGTCATCATCCAATTGGGCAATGAAAAAAAATATTTTCTCTATCTGTTTTTCATTCTAATCATGATTACTCTTTTGTACTTCTTTTTCTCTTACTGTTCATTTTTTCTAAAATTTTTGTTCGTTGATGGCAACTCTCTCTGTCTCTCGTGTCCTAACAAAAACACTAAAATAAAGAACTTCCAAAAAAAAAGGTACAAACAAACGCACTGTCTGCATAAACTGAATTTCTAGTTCTTATAAGACATCTTCCATTTCTAATGAAAACACTCCATCGCTATTATCATAGAGACAAATTTTATGATAATGACCATGAATGAAATGGATTTACACTCATTTCAATAGCAAAGAAGTGAATAAAAAACGAGAAATAGACACAGAATTTACATATATGTCGAGATTCATTCAAGTCGAAAATACACTATTTATCGACGATGGATTATAAATTGACATGTATTTGATATTATTTTACTAAGTTCAATTGAATCGAGATAATCGCAATAAAATTAAAAAAGAATAAAATTAAGAGATAGAACATATGTTGAATTTGTCTCTCCATGAATAGCCAATCACTTTTTCCATTGACTTGCTCGATTATAATAGTTGAATGATCTTTGACCGTTGTTCAAAAAAAAAA